AGAAAATAAGAGTCTGTTTTCCCTAAATTTTTAAGTTCCACCAAAATCCCCATGTGATTTTTTTTTTTTGACAGCACTATTTTACAAATGTTTAATTAGAATGAACATAGGAGAATAGCCAGGTAAACGTTTTAAAAGAAGGATAATGGGCTGGCCCGGTGGCGCACTCGGTAGAGTGCGGCGCTTGGGAGCACGGCGGCGCTCCCGCTTAGGGTTCGGATCCCATATACAGACCAGTCCACTCACTGGTTGAGCGCGGTGCGGGCGTGACACTGAGGGTTGCAATCCCGTTACCGGTCATGAAAAAAGACAAAAAGGAAAAAAAAAAAAAAAAAAAGAAGGATAATGAAGGAGGACTTCCCTTACCATATACAAAAAAGGAATTACAATGCTATGATAATTTTAAAATAGTTGTGGCATAGGATGAGACTGTAAAGGGCAGAAATAAATCAAAAGAAGATAGACATTTAGAATACAATAAAGGGAGCATTTCTATTTCATAGCCAAAAAACCAAAAGTATTCAATAAAAGATTTTTACATAACTGGCTACTCATTTGGAGAAAAATAAAGCTGGATTTCCTTTCTCAACCTTCTAGATGAGCCAAAATTAAAATATTTAAAGAAAATAATTAGAACATGATGAGTAAATAATATCATAATCTTAGGGTGGGAAAGGTATTTCTAAACATGTCAAAAAAACCTAAAATTATCAAGGGAAATAATGATAAATTTTATTTCAACACAAAAAAATTTTACATGACTCTATAGGGATAAAAATTCACACCAAAAACAGGTAAATGATGGACAAATATGGTAAAATATTATAAAGCATTTTACAAAGGTTAAAACTTCCAATACCCAAAGTTTTTGATAACTTTTTATTTTGAAATAATTTGAGACTTACAGAAAAATTACAAGTATAATATTTTTACCCAGATTCACTAATTGTTAATGTTTCACCATATTTGTTTTACATTCTCTCTCTCCACATGTATATATACATATGCACATATATATGAATATTTATGAACCATTTGAAATTAAGTCAAAAAAGACATAATGCTCCTTGACCACTAATTACCACAGAATATAATATCCAGAGTTTTTATAAGTCAATGAAAACACAAGTAGTTTAGTAGAAGAAGATGGGCAAAGGACAGGGAAAAGTGTAAATGGTATACTGAACAAAGTGAGCATTTTATTTGGATCCCTTTTTTCCCTTTAAAATTTATTTAGAAGGCAATTTTTCCCTGATCCTGGGTAAAACTTAGAACCAGAATTTTTTGCTCATTATGATTAATGTAATCACTATAATTACATCAAGTGTCACATAAATACCTTGGTTCAGAAATCAGAATATCCGTTTTCACGTATGTATTGTTCTGCTTCTGTTGTTTATAACAGAATACCTGAAACTGGGTAATTTATTTCTTACAGTTTTGGAGGCTGGGAAGTCCCAGGTCCAGGGGTGCATCTGATTGAGGGCCTTCGTTGCAGGGTGTCACATGTAAAAATGGGCTGAGGAAGAGTGAGCTAAGCTTTTGCTCACTGCTCTCCTTATAAAGCCATTATAACCACACCCATGAACACCCATTAAACCATCAATGAATTAATCCATTCAGTCTGCACAATCTAATCACCTCTTAAAGGCCCCACCTTTCAATTACCATAGTGAGATTTCCCACGCTTTAACACTGTTATAATGGAGATTACATTTTCAATGGGTGAACTTTTGGGAGACATATCGGACTCGTAGCAACTGAATAATCACAATGTTAAGACATGATTTAAAGTAAAACTTCCCACTGCCATCTGGGGCTTTGTCAAGCAGGAAGCCTGGGAAGTGAGAAGAGAGGTCTGTACTCTCCCCTTCCTTCTCTTTTAGCTTCCACTCCCACTCCATCTTGCTAATGTTGCCTTCCGAACCTGCCAAGTTAAAGCAGGAGAGGAGTGAGAAGCAAAGGAGAACTTTTTTAACCTCTTCAGGCCACTCCCTGAGCCTGGAGGTGATTTACAGCTGACTCTTCCCTAGCTTCAGGGGCACACATCACTTCTTCTGAGTGATCCTATAGAAACCCCTCCCAGTAGACTTGAAGTGTGGGACAGGCACCCCCTCATCCCCTTAAAAGGGAAAAGTTGAGACCATAGGAACATTCTCTTCAGAGAAATCCTATACACAAAATCACCTCCCACTCAACCCTCCTCACCCTTTGATACACACATGTAGTAGAATATCAGTTATACTCTGAATTCTGATACATATTGTAGTTTAATGCTTTGTTGAAGCTTCCTATTTAATATCCTGTTACACATGCAATTTACAGAATTACTCAATTTCATAAAATTAAAACAAAAATAAGATACAAGTTTTAGTCCACCAAAATAACAAAAGTTAAAATAAAGATAATGCCTAATGCTGGTGATGATATAGGACAAGGGCATTCATAAACTGTTGGTGTTAAAATAAATGGATTATATCTTTGGGGAGGCTACTTTATTAATATCTACTAAAATTTTAAATGCATATACAATTGATTTTATAATTAAACTTCTAAAATTTTAATCTAGAGAAATGCTTAAACAAATGCAAAAAGATATTTGAAGAAAGACTTTTACCCTGGTATGGTAAAATAAATAAACTGAAATGAGATCAAATGTCTATCAATAGGAGAATGGTTAAACAGACTGTGACATAGCCATATGAGAGAATTATTATTCAGTAGTTAAGGAGAATGGAATATATTTACATATATAGAAATGGAAAGGAGTCCAAGATATAGAGTGTGCGCACACGTGTGCGTGCGTGCGTGCGTGTGTGTGTGGTTGGCCAGTATGGGGATCTGAACCCTTGACCTTCATGTTATCAGCACCACACTCTAACCAAGTCAGCTAACTGGCCAGCCCTCCCAAGATATATTTTAAGTGAAAATCCAAAAGTTAGAGAATAAAATTGTATAAAAGTGTTTTGTTAAAAAACAAAACAAGTAAAAAAAAAAAAACTTGCTTAGGGTTTTATATGTATAGAAAGAACTGTTAGAGATATAAGCCAAACAATTTAGAGTGGAAATTTCTAGGTAGTTTGATTATGGGAAAGTCTCATTTTCTAATTTTTGCATTTAGATATTACCTTTTTTTTTTTTTTTTAAAAATGTCTGCATTTCCTTCCAAATCACAAAAAAAGATATGTATTTTAAAATATAGTAGTGATGATGGAATCACAACAGTACAAAATTAAAGGGATGAATTCAAAGTTCAAAATAAAGGTGATTTCATGATTTTAAATGCTTTAAACATAAAACTAGTAAGAGTAAGCCTTTCTGCCCAAGAAGACATAAGACAAAAGCCAAGTCAAGACCAAAGAAAGCACACAAACTAATAGAAATAGAAATAGTGAAATAAACGTTAAAAAATTAACCACATACCAGGCTACCAAACAAGTCTCAACATATTCCATATAACTGGTACCACTGTAGAAATAATTTTATGACTACAGGAGAACTGAGTTGGAAATTAATAACCACAAAAACATGCACGAGTCAGAACAAAATCAAAATGGAAACTATATAAAATATTTTAAACTAGATAATAATAAAAATGCTACATATCAAAATTTGTGACATGAAACTTAAGAAATATTCAGAGGGAAATCTGTAGCCTCAAATACTTGCATTATAAAGGAAGAAAGACTAAAAATAAATTAACTATGTTTCCAGCTAAGTTAGCCTATGTGTATATAGAAACTTGATATATGAGAGAGACGGTGACAATCAAGTGCAGGAAATGATTTTTTCAATGCATTGCATTGGGACAATTGGTAGTCCACATGATGAAATAGATTCCTATCATATAACATTCAAAAAATAAATGACATGCAGATTCAAAATATGGAAACCAAAATTTCCAAACTTTTAAAAAATACATATAGGAGAAATTCTGGAGCATTGTCTTTATAGCCTCAGGAAAAGGAAGGATTTCTTAAATAAGACACAAAAAGCATAAACCAGAAAGGACAACATGATTTATTTGACTAAAATAAAATCTAAATTGCTGTTCAGCAAAGGACATTATAAATAAAATGAAAAGATAAATGGAAAACTGGGAGAAGATATTTACAATATACACAATGAACATAGAATTAGTATCCAGAATATATAAAAAAGAAAAAGGCAAACAATAGAAAAATGTGCAAAGTATATGAATAATTGATTCATAGGAATCACAAATACTGAAGAAACATATAAAAAGATGCACAACTGCTCTAGTAATTGTGGATGTACACATTGCAGCCACACTGAGGTACTATTTCTCATCCATCAGAATGGAAAACATTTTATAGTATGACAATATCCAAACCTGGCAATGATATGGAGCAATGGAACTCTCAAATACTGCTGAAAAAACATAGATTAATACATTCACTTTGGAAAACAATTTGGCCATGACCATTAAAGATGAAGGTAAATTAGCCTATGACCCACCAGTTCCATGCAGGATGCATCCTGCTGAGAAACTCTGGAACAAGTAAATTGGGAGATGTGTGTGAGAATATTCAGAGCAGGAGAGTTTATGATATGAAAAAATTGGAAACTCTCTCAATGTTTGTAAAGAAAAGAATGGATAAATTGTGTCATACTCACAAAAGAGAGTATCGTAGAGCTTTTAATTAGTAAATTAAAGCTGCCTGTATTCAACATGGATAAATCTCAAAAATAATGTTGAATAGAAGCTGCAAGTGACAGAAGCATACTTACAGAAAGATGCCATTTACACAAAACAGGCTCTGCCAGCACCTGACCCAGATCTGGGCATGCGGCTGATTTTTAGGAGTGTTAAAATGACCTAAGAGGTACTGCCATTATTAGCATCATTTTCATTCTTTTACAGACTGGGAAACTGAAGCTCAGGAGGAGAAGATTTTCATAAGGTCTCCCAAGCCATGTGAAAAGGAAAGCATGACACCTGAAAGTCTCCTCTTTGCCCCAGTCCACACACTCCGTACCTTACAAGTGTCCAAGCCCCATTCTGAGCTGGCACACAGCATGTCATTCCCAATTAACTTCTGGTTCTTCAAGAGGAATCGGTACCGTTTATTGCAGATATCATTGTTTATAATCCTGGCAGCCACCTCCTGAAGGCTGTAAGGGGTCTTTGGGGTCACTGTGGAGAGAGAGATCCTGCCTCATCGTCATCTCAGCTTTTCAGCACATCTACATCTCATTCACTCATGAGAAAGAGAGGGCCATTTCCTGAAATGGTGATTTATAAAGGCTCCAGCCCATAGCCTGACTTTTGAAAAAGCCCCCAGCTCATTAAAGAAACCCTAGGGGGCTTGGAGTGACATCCAGGCACCAAATGAGGACAAGGAGCTATTTCCCCAATAATCCAGGTTCTATGAGGGTGAGGGGATGAGAGCACTGTTCCATGGCCACTGGCAAGGTGGTAAGACCCTACAGCCCAGAGTGTGGCACCCCCTGGGAGGCAGAAACCCACAAAGGTGCCCAGATTCTAGGACCCCAGGGTAGCACCAACAGGGGCCAGGCCTCAGGGATTACAGATGCCTCAAGGTAACCAGTGTACATGATGGCTAGAGAGGCCTCCTCAGTGCCTCAGTACCTCCTGAGAGCATGGCCTTCGTGCCACCTGCAGACAGGGAATCCCATCAATAGCCAAGGGTTAACTTCCTGCCATGCTGCAGGGTGAGGGCTTGGCACTGGATTTAACTTAACTTTGGGGATGAGGTCCATGCAGGCCATGTGTGTCTTCTGCACTACAGCATTACGTATATCAAGAGGTCAGGACAGTGTACAGCATGTGTAGGTGCCCTGGAAGTGTTTGCTGACTCAGTGAGTGGGCGAATAAAGGAATAAACAAATGAGCCTGTGATGGGGTTGTGCTCTGAAGAAGCATGTGTCTTTGAACCTCTGCCTGCCTTCACTCACCTTGCTTCTTTGTAAGTCCCCACCCGATCACCCAGCACATGGTTCCAACGGGTGGCTTCAATTTGATGGTGGGAAGGCAGACCGGCTGAACAAGGGGGGACCAGGAGACGGGGTCCCTGAGCTGCAGGAGGGCAATGTCCTGGGACATGAGATTCCTGAAATCCTCATGAATCACGATGCGAGTGAGGGGGAGCTGAGTGCCGTTTTCTGGGAGGTGATGGACTCCCACCATCACAGAGTACATTTGGGGATCCTTGGATCTGCAGGGCCATGGGTAGGTAAGAGTTCGGCAGCAGGGGCTGAGCACAGGCCACCCAGCCAGGCCCCCTACCCCCAGATCCCCAGATTCACCAGGGCCCCCAGGCCAGAAAGCAAAGTCCCTGGGCCTGGCTGGCCACCCTGACTGACCTCTGTAAGCAGTGCGCGGCTGTGAGGACCCACTGGCGGTGGATGAGGGAGCCACTGCAGATGTACATGCCCAGGAACAAGATGTTCACCTGCCATGGCCACTTGCCTACCTCCACCAGCTTCCCATGCACCATCTTACAAGACATATTGGTCTGACCACAGCCCCGGAACCAAGACCCTGAGGAAAGAGGTGGAGAGGGGGCTGTACCCTCTCAGGCTCTTGGGCAGTAGAGGGCAGCCCTCACACCCCTGTTCACAGCAGAATGTCAAGGCAGAGAGAGCTGCCTTCCAGCCCTGTCACAGCCACTGCCACATGCACACGTGGGAAGGGGCTTTTCCCACAGCCTCAAAACTGGCAATCAAAGACCCAGAGGCAGCAGGTACCCCGCATTACAAAGAGAGCCCCCAAACAATGGGGACTAAACAACTCCTCCAGGGCTTGTTATAAGCCATCATCCCAGGACTCATCCCTGCCCATAGTTTACACACACAGATGGTTAGGGAAGTAAAGAGAATCGGCAGAGGGGTAGATTGTCAGCCAGGAGGTAAGTGACAGGGCACAAGTGGGCAGGGCTGCCTGTCAGTTGTAACCAAAAAGAAATGGACAGTCATGTCATATCGCACAATTCCAGGGCCCTCTCTGATAAAGATCACGGCACTGGAGGTGTGGTCTTTGGGACCATAACCAGAAGTGAGTGGAGATGTTTGTCCACTCCCTCCTTGAGTCTCACTGGCCCCTACAGCAGGGGCAGGAGGAGAGGAGACTACACGGAACTGGATATGAGATTGAGATTTTAAACTGGACCAGCTTGGATTGGTATTTAATAACTGAACATCATAAAGGTTAAGAGAGAAAGATTCTACAGCAAGAGCTGGAGACCAAGATTAAAGATAAACGGAGAGGTTTCTTATATGGCCTTCTGTCAAGTTTGGGCTGGTCAACAAACTGTTACATGTGATCACGGATCTCCTCAGTAGAGGCAAAGCTGGACGTGTCTACCCCATCACGAGCTGTCGTGGTTAGAAAAAGTCTTTCCCTTCACAGCTTGGCGTGCAGTGACAAGCAGAGTGTCAGGGACTCAGCAGCAGTAGCCAAAGCTTGTCCTTGCTGGGGGAGTCTGCGGGGGACGTGTCTACCCCATCACGAGCTGTCGTGGTTAGAAAAAGTCTTTCCCTTCACAGCTTGGTGTGCAGTGACAAGCAGAGTGTCAGGGACTCAGCAGCAGTAGCCAAAGCTTGTCCTTGCTGGGGGAGTCTGCGGGGAGCAGTGGTGGTGCAGGAAGTACAGCAATAAACACACAAAGCTAATATCTTTGGTGACCTGTACAAAGTAGCAGAAATATCTACTGGGCCCTGCCTCATGGAAATCTCTCAGAGGGTCACAGACCATTGATGTTAAGGCTCATCTACACCATGTGTCCCACGGCTCCGTGTACTATCGGATGTAAACGGCCAATTCCCTTGCTGCCGACTTCTGTGGCCTTCCACCAGGATCCACAGGAATCCCATGAGCCCCGCATGTCTCCATGGAGTGCTATCTTGTCTTGCCTGCTCACTGTGTGATTCCCATCCATGTCCCTTTCCATAGCTGTCCTATTTTTGTCTCCCACAGGGGGAGCCACATTTCTGGGCCTTCTCCTACACTGTGGTGGGTTGATGGTTACCTTTTTACTTCTGATTACAGCCACCCCAATCAAGACTGTTCCACGTTGGGAGGAAAGAGAGGGATTCCAGAGCTTGCCATTTCCTTTCTCACAAAGCTGAGGCCCATGGAGCTAGGGTTCTCCATTAAGAACTTCACCACCTAAAAAGTGACAGCTCTAGGGGACAGGGTCGGGCTTCACCTAGGTGCTCCCCACCCTCAATGGGTTCCTCAGGTCTCAAAGAACAGCACTCCTTAGAATTCACATCCAGGACAATGTTGAGTCCAACCCCCTTCCTCAAAACCTTACACGGGATTTGCAGGATTCGGCCTGGAAATGCCAGCACCAGAGGTCAGCACCAAGTACAGCAGCTGAATCTGGGAGGCACCATGATGGATTATTCGGTGCAAGATATCACAGATCAACTTGGTCTCAGGCACAATGTCACCATTCCATACACAGCAACACTCAGTGGCTCAAGCGGATTCCACTGAAGACAGTCTCTACCCCCTCTTGGAGCCCCAGAGTCAGAACTCACCCCCACACAAGCAGCACTTTGCCATCATTTTTCACACTCACTCACATGTGGTCACAGGAAGACATGACCTCCATCCCTGTAAGACAACAGCCACACACCCATCCCCACATCATCACAGGCACAGAGTCATCTACATGGAGCTCCACACATCCTCACCATCCCAAAACATCACAGATGCCTGATGGCGGTGTAGCACAGTTCAGAGTAGGAGACCATCCGTTCCTTCCTTCCTTCATTCAACAAGGCACTAGTCCAGGAGGGGGAGTCACACAGTGATGGAAAAAGACAAAGTCCCTGAGTTGGGTGACACGTTGCCACCCCAGCATGTTCCCTGCCAAGCAGCAGAATGGGCAGCTGGCAGGTAATGCCAGCCAGGGCAGCCCCCACAACATCATCTGTGGTCATCGGTTAGGGTTGGAGCCTGGAGACCCTCTGTCACTTAGAGTCCCGAATTCTTCACCCCCAAAGAGCCTATTGGAAATTGGCATTGAATCCTGATTCCACCATTCACAAACCACTTAGCTCTTGGGGCCTGGGGTTTCCTACTATGAAATGGGGCTGCTGGGAAAGCCCACCTCACGGAGCATTGAGATGCAAAGCTGTCTCAGCAGTGCCTGATGTCAAGTGAGTGGGCACTGACATACCACATCATCATCACAACAAATCCAGCTTCTCCTGAGACTGTGCCTCCCAAACAAGCTCACCTGTTTCATGGGTGTTAGTTTGTACCCTCATTTTATTTTTTTAAAGATGACTGGTAAGGGGATCTTAACCCTTAACTTGGTGTTGTCAGCACCGTGCTCTCCCAAGTGAGTGAACCGGCCATCCCTATATAGGGATCCAAACCCATGGCCTTTGTGTTATCAGCACCACACTCTCCCAAGTGAGCTATGGGCTGGCCCTTGTACCCCCATTTTTAATAAGGCTCTTCCCTCGTGTGTTCATGGTCACCCTGAAAATTGGAACTGCTCCAACACCATGCAGGTCCTCAGTCTGCTAGGGATGTACCCATCAGGACATGGACAAATGGAGGGCGTCCAGGCATGAGGACAGCTGACACAGGCACCCAGTCAGACAGACCCCTCCTGCCTCTGCCCCATCCCTAAAGCCCTACCTTCAATATAGGGCTGATTCTCAAGTCCGGCAGAAGAAAATGGAGATGCGAGATGGCCCTGGAGACCCCCTGGCCCACATGCCATGGCAAGAAGATGTCTATCCCTCACTGTTGCTCATAATCGGACATAGGGGCAGGGTGGGCGGAGCATCTCTGATGTGCTAAGATTCTAGAACTCATGGTTTGTTTATTCAGCACAGCAGTGGGCCTCTGCTCCAGTGTTGGGGGCTTACCGAGCTGTGACAGCAGCAAGATTCTCAAAAGAAGGCAGTATGGTCCCAGCAAGGCCCTGCCAAGCCACAAGGTGATGTTGCTGTCAGGAACCTCCCTGGAACAGTGGTCCTGGTGCCCAGCACTGAGCCTGTGAAAGTGCCTCCCAGGTCCAACTCTTGGCACTGCACCCAATGCCCAGCCTGGCCTCAATGGTGCCTCTTGTGCCTAGTTCTGAGCCTGTGACAGCACCACATACTTGGCCCATGACCACACCAGGTGTCTGTTTTGTGACAGACAGTGCTCAACCCAGGCTCCTTTGAAAAGCCTGTCTGATGCCCCCCTGGGAAGTATGGAAACTGAGGCACTAATATAAAGGCACTAATAACTAAGATGGGGATGACTAGTTTCTGTAGTATGTAATTGAGGCAGAATCAGAGTTTTCCTTTTTCCCTCAGGGCCTGTACTTTCAAGAGAACAGCTCTTGAGTAGAGAGAGGCCAGGTGTGTTTGGCCTGGGAAGGTAACTTCCTGAGAGGAAACAGATTGCAGGCTTGAGTCTTCATGAATCAGCAGAATGAATAACATCTTGGGACACCCTTCTGCCACTCCACTGAGGTCCTCTCCCCCAAGGATCCTGTGCTCCTCACACTGTCCATGAGGATGGCTCACTCCTGCTTCACCAGTTGCCAGTGTTGTCGAGGACGTGGGGTAATGCAGTAGTTCACACGCTGTTGGCATAGCCACTGTAGAAAACCATTTGGAATCATTTAGGAGAGCAGAAAGTGTGCCTACCCCACAACCTGTAGTTCGACTCCTGTGCCCTAGAAAGAGCACATATGCAGCAAGAGAGAGGCACAGGACTGTTCACCGCAGCACTGTTCAGAAGAGCCCCAGATGGAAACTACCCATCTGCCACTCAAGGCCGGACAGATGAATGAAACACTCACAGCAATGAGAATGGACCATCTATTGCTATACATAGCTGGTGAATCTCATAAACATATTCTGAGTGAAAGAAGCCAGAAACAAAAGGGTACATACTGTATGAAATTCAAAACCAGGCAAAACAAACTATTTTCAGGGATATATGGTAGAAAAACAAGGAAATGATTATTCCTACAGTCAGATTCCCTCAAGGAGAAAAGACAGAGAAAGGGGAAGGGAGAGAAGGAGAAGAGAGATACTCCAGAGAAGAGAAATCCTATCTATTCTCTGCCTTTGTGGAAAATAACACTTTGGGGGAAAGAATCAAAATAAAATAAATGAATAAAGATCAAGCATATCCATTTTTACAGCCAATGTGAATGCATAAAATTTTACTTTTAAAAGAAAAAGATTCTTATATTAGGTAGAAAAAAATCCGGGGGGAAAGAATCAAAATAAAATAAATGAATAAAGATCAAGCATATCCATTTTTACAGCCAACGTGAATGCATAAAATTTTACTTTTAAAAGAAAAAGATTCTTATATTAGGTAGAAAAAAATCCGCTCACATGCTACTTATTAGAGTCACACCTAAAACAAAGTGACATGAAGAAGTTGAAAGTAAAAAGATGGGCAAAAATATATTAAGTATACACAAGCAAAAATAGAAATGGCAATGTTAATCTCTAAAACTGATTCAAGACAAAAGCTTTAAACAGAAAAAGTTATTTCGTGTTGAAAAATGACACAGATTACAATAAATTTGTATCATAAAGTTCAATCTATCAATAAAATAACATCAGTTGGTCCCATGGTGTAATGGTTCACACTCTGGACTTAATGAAATAACATCAAACATACCAAGCAAAATCAATCAGCAACACACGAGAAATTGAGAAAACTCACTTGTAGTGGAAGAGTCTCTTCCAACTCACTCTGTCTTTGAGAGATGGAATATTTATAAAAATCAAACCCATTAGTCTAGTAAGAAAACCACCACAATAACTTCCCTAAACGTTGAACTAGTTTGGTCCACAATTTTTACCACAATGCAATGAAACAGGGACTTAATAACAAAAGAGTAAACAAAAGAAACCAAATAATTCGAAAATTAAAAAAATAAACTTTGTTATATTGTTTTGAGAAAATAAAAGAAACTCTATAAACTATTTAGAAAATACTAATAATTAGAGCAATGCATTTTTTTAAAACCTTATTGGGGGTGTCCAAAGCAAATTTATAACCTTAAAGGCATTTATTATTGAATAACAAAGGAGAAGTTCCCTCTCCTCCCCCAAACTATTCATCAGTAAATTAAATAACACCCTTCTAAATAACTCTTAGGTTAAATAAGAAATATAGTAATAAATTATATACAATATAGAAATGATGACAATGAGGCCAGTACATATCCAATCCTGTGAAATATGACCCCAGTCGGACTAAAGAAAAATTTATGGAATTAAGTGAAAATACTAGAAATTAAAGTCTAAAATAATGAACTAAACATACTACTCAAAAAGTTAGAAAAGGGACATTAAAATAAATCTCCCACAAGTAGAAGGCTGGAGTTACTAAAACTAAAAGAACTTTAATGAAATAAAAAGAAGTAGATTTGATCACTAAAACCAAAACTTAGTTTGTACCATTTAGGAGTTCTCAAGTCACAGAAATTTCCACTCAAACAGGCTTGCAGTTTCCATCTCTTCTCTCTGCCTTCAGTGGTGGCAGCTTCATCCTGAGTTGGTCTTGTTGAAAAACGACTGCCAACGGCCAACATCCTCCTGCTGCTTCATCCACATTCAGAAAGACAGTGTGTGTCTTTCCTGTAACCATGCCTTATGCTGACAGGGACAACCCAGGTCATTGCCCAACTGTGTTAGGTGGCTAGGGCACTGGAATATGCTAACTAGATCAAGCCAATGAGCCACCCCTCCAGGGAGCTGGGATAGTGATCGCTTCCCCATAAAGAACTTAGGCAGCATGGCGAGGTGTGGAACCCTGACCAGGAACTGGGGTAACATTAGGAAGGGGGAGATAGATACCATGGAGCTAACCAATAAAAGTCTGCCACATGGTTTTTTGAAAATACCTGTGAAATAGACAAAAATTTGGCAACTGTAATCTGCAATAATTAGGAAAAACGGAAAATACACATATAAATAATGTGAAAAACAGGAAAGGGAACATAGGTTCAAATTTTATACATCAGTTTGAAATTTGTAAATCTAGGCTAAATTAAGTGATTTTCTAGGAAAATGTACTAAAATTAACTCAAAAAGAGGTCGGAAACCTGACTATGCCAGTAACTATAAAAGAAAAATTTTTGTGATGAAATATGCTACTAACCCTGATTTGATCATCATACACTATGTACATGTATTGAAATATAACTCTGTAACCCATAAATATGTACATCAATTACGTATCAATTAAAATTTTTTTTTTATTTTTAAAAAGAAGTTTTTAAAGTAGTCAAGATTTGTCCCCTAAAAAGGCATCAGGCCCAGAGAGTTTTCTGGGCACAAACTACCACACCTAAGGCACAGATAATGCTGGTTATTATATAAACTGCTCCAGGGCATAGGAAAATACTAGAAAGACTTTCAACATGTTTTAAGAGGCTAGCGTAGCACTGACACCAAATTTGAACAAAGGATAGAACAAAAAGAAAAATAGTAGGTTAATTCCAACAGTGGGACAAAAATTCCAAACAAAATGTCAGCAAATCAAATTCACAGTATGTTACAGGATTTATCTAGATATATTATTGATCTAGGAATGTAATACAGCATGTAAATAAATAAGAAAAACCATAAAATCATTTTAATAGTTCACTACTTCATCACCAGGACTGAAAATAGTCCCCGGCACAGAGAAAACTCTGAAAAAATATCTGTGGAATGGATGAAAGAATGAAGTCAGAGGAGGCATATGTACTCCCACCATTATTTCTACTATTTCACTGGAGGTCTTAGGCCATGTGATAATAAAAAGAAATAACTGGTATGATTTTCAGAAAGGATGAGATGAATTCACCATTTTAGTTGATTTGATTACCCAAAAATAAGCCATGAGAATCAACTGAAAAAGTACTGAATTAATAAGACAGCTTTGCAAGATGGGCCAGGAATCAAGATCACTATTTTTTTTTTAAGTCCGTAAATAGCTTTATAACACCTAACATGTAGAATTAGAAAAAATGTAATGAAAAAAGATATTATTCACAACATAACCAAAATTTACAAAATATTTAGAAATAAACAATATTTTCCCAGACATCCATGAATAAAACTATAGAACTATTGAAAGGATACAGAAGAAGAGCTGAATAAAAGGAGCAGTGGTTAGAAACTCAACATTGTAGAAATGATAGTTCTCCCCAAATTAATCTGTGTATTTAATTCCAATTCAAATATCAATAATATTTCTAATGAAATTTGACAAATTGATTCTAGAGTTTCTATGGAAGACAACGGGCAATTTTTTTTTTTAAAGAAGAGGAGAGTTTTTCCTACCATTTAACAAAGCTGACTGAAACAGCACAGCACTAACTCAGGAACAGACAAACACATCAATGGGATAATAATAGAGGCTTGAAAAATACACTCAGGAATATATTAGGATTTCATTAGTATAAATGTGGAAATTCAAATCAGTGGGAAAAGGATGGATGCTACAAAAACTGGTGTCAATAAAATTGGCTCTCAAGTTGGAAATAGAGTTCGATCCCTAACACACACCATACATAAAAAAGAAATTCTCAATGAATTTTTTGCCATCAGGTGGGCATAAATTTAGAAGATCAATAATATATATATTTAGCAAAAGGGAGAAACATTGTAGCATACGGTAGGTGTGAATGTAAACTGGTTCATCTGGGCAGGACAGGAGGTGAATTTGATAGTATTCTTCCAAAATTATTAAATTTGTGTTTCCAGAAGTTGAAAATAAACAAACAAACAAATAAATAAATAAAATTTGTGTTTCCTTTGACTGCCCTCCCCTCAGTCCCACTCCTGGAAAGACAGCTGCAGAAATGCTGCAGAATGTGCCCCACCCCCCGCATGCAGAAATGTGTTCACAACAGCACTGCCTCAAAGCTCACGAGCCAGAAACAACCTAAAAACCTGTGCTAGCTAAACCACATATGTCACATCCGCACAGAACACATGCAGTTATGTAAAAGTACGAACAGCTCTAGGAACTGACATAGAAAGTTTCTCAAGTTATGCCTTTTTGAAATGTGGGTTACTAATAATACATATTATTACATAATACATAAGATCCCATTTAGTTAAAATCATAAAGGTGGGTTTTTAAAAAGATAATAATAATGATTACTTCTAGGGAGAGGAGCAGCACTGGTGGTGGGGGTAGATGAGACACGTATTTCTGAATTTTTTTAGTAAATCAAAACAAGAATGTATTCAGATATTGCTTGTAATCTTCTCTTTGTTTTTTTAAAGAAAAAAATGTAGAAGGAAATACACCAGAATGAGAAGATTGGATATCTCTGTGTGGTGGGACTGCAGGGGATGTTTCCTTTCTTTAGGCTTACTGTTTTAGCCTTTACTCTTTCCGAATTTTCTACAACGAACAAGTAATACTTTTGTAATCAGCTTTAAAAAAAAACAAAAACAAGAAAGAAAGGTGGCTTTGCAGTGCTGTCTGTGAGTTGTTCCTACTGTCAGCCTATCAGGCGTGTTTCAACAGCTCTTTTACAGCATGCACACTTTACAAACGAGAAAACTAAGGCCACCATCCAGGCCCTTTCCCTATGTCCCAGCACTAGTGGTACAACAAAAACCATCAGTCCCTACTCAGGAAGGTCTCCTGGCAGAATTAATCATGGGAGGCTCTTCTCTCCCTACCCCCGACTCTTAACCCCCAGGGCCACCCCAGAGAACAGAAAAGAGAAAAGAGCCAGTTCATGTTTATACAACTTTAATCCCTGCTATCCTGGTCCCATATTCTTCAACCCTTTTAGGCCACACTTCCCTTCTCCTGGTCACCCAAGGCCTAGTCATCCACCACACTCCTCTCCGCTGACATGCCAAAGCAGGACCCAGTCTCCCAGGGGCCACTCTTTCCCTACACTGACTCTTGTTGAATATGGACACACGACCTTGGTCAAACCTCCCTCAAGCCCCATTCAGCATAGGCAAGGCAGGAAGAGGAAGGGGTGAGGTGGTTATGGGCCCATCTGGGGCTGCAGCAGCCAGAACAGAAATAGGAGCCAGGTGGAAGTGTGGAGACCTGAAAGAGACCCATTGCTCATTTGCTTCTTGATCCATTTGGTATACCTGGTGACACGGGTATACACTCCTGGATTCTGTGCTTTGGCGCAGGCCTTTTCCCAGGACAACACCCCAGCCAGAATCCATCTGCCCTCGACTTCACAAGCCAGTGGCCCCCCAGAATCTCCCTGGACAAAGAGAGAGGGAGTGATGAAGGCTCTGGGCCCCAGGGGACCCAAAATGCCCACCCTCTGAGATCTGCTTGGAAGGTTCTTTCACTCCTCGAGGATCTCACTACCTGGGGTCCTCCTTTGGCTCCTCAGTTGGAGACCCTGCCCCAGAATGGCAGCCAAAATCAAAGCCACAAGGGAAGGAAGGTGGAAGCAGAGCACTGCTTGGTGATGGTAACAAAGAGGGAGGCCAAGCAAACCCCTCCCCAGGGAACTGGCCCCCACCCAGAAGTCATTCCCAATAGGAGATCTGCCAGAACCTCCTGGAAACTCACATAGCACAAGTTTTCTCCATAATTGGTGGCACAGATCATGCCCCCCAGGACAAGGGGGACAGCACGGGTGAAGAGGGAATTCCTGTGGTAAATCCGGTCACATCTCTTGTTGTCCATGATGAACACCTCAGCCTCTCGCAGCTCTGGGGTCAGCGTGGAGTCTGCTGTGGAGGAGCCCAGTGGAATGAACACTGACTCCTCACTGCACTCAGCCTTGATCCCTGCCCAGTGTCTGTGTCACCTCTGTCCCTGAGACTCAGCCAAGCCATGCCCTTTCACACTTCCACGCCCTCCTTCACCTGGTACCAAGCCCCCACCCCCACGGTGCAGACCTTGTCTGGCAAGTCCCTCACCCTCTAAAGCTCTGATTGGGGATCCCCTTCTCTGAGAAACTTTTGCTTCTGAACCAAGTAGGCCATGATCCAAGTTCCAATGCAGCCCCTTTTAAGTGGGACCCTAACCATGTGCTGCTTTTCTCCAGACTCTGAACGTTGTATTGGCTGTTCCTTCTGCCATCTGATTAGTACTCACTCCTCCTTCAGGCATCTCAGGCAGTCCCTCTGCCTAGAGCTCAGCCCTGAGCCCTCCCAGCTTGATCTCAACATCACCTCACAAAGTTTTTGCCTCTTTCCCTGTCAGCCTGCAAACCCACCTACATTTTGTTGTGACTTCCTTCCAGTCAGGGCATGAATTTCAAATGCCAGGGGCTCAGCATGTAGCCGATGCTCAAAGTTTCTCAAATGATTGAATGAGTGAGTGAGTGAATTTATGAATCCCAACTCTGAACTTCTGTAAGAGAGAGATGATCATGCCCAGCCCAGGCACTGCTTAAGCATGAATGAGGTGCCCACATAAACTGTGACAATGGTCACCACATGAGGAGTGGTCCTAACACATTCAAAGAACCATGGACCAGAGGTGACAGCCACAAGTTTCCCATGAGGCACCATGATGAGGGTCCAGAACGAAAGACCCAGGAAGAAAGAAGTGCATTTTCTGTGGTCCCACGGCCCACCTCCCCACACTGCCCCCACCCCCTCACCCCCCGGCCCTTCCCACTTACCTGAGAAGCGCTGTTTAACCTGGCTCCAGCCAGTCACCCAGCACTGAGTTCCAACCTTCAGGTTGAAGTTGGGCTCTGGGAGGCAGATAGGCTGTATGTACTTGTTGAAGGCAACGGGAGTGTGCAGACGGAGGAGGGCAAGATCACCCATGATGAAGGTCCGGCCCCAGTACTTGGGGTGCATAATGATGTCCCTCACAGGGATCCAGCGGGCTCTGGTGAGGTTCACGGGCTGCAGCTTGTGGGTGCCAAGCATCACCGAGTACTCTTTAGTGCTGCAGGAGATACAGAGCCACTTGGTAGATACCAGGTACCCAAGCAAGAATATGCTCCTTCCCCCAGGACCCTCTCCCTTAGCAGAAGTCTGGCCTGATTTGCTCTGTTCACCCCCTCTTGTCTAATCTAGACTGGTGCCCCTTGGGGTCAGAGATTTGACTGCCTTCTCATTCATTGTTCAAGTTGATCCAAGGCCTGGTCTATGTTTTGTGTGTGCAGATGTATAGATGTCAGTGTACATGTATGTTTCCATGTCTCAGGGTTGGCGAGGTGTTCTGGGTTTTCCTGTTGTCCAGATTAGGATACAGTCTTTGTTGCCTGAGGCTCCTACCCGGGCTCAGTCCCTGGCACCATGCAAGATCCTGAGCATTATTCTTCCCATTTCTGGATGCCTGTTCCTGCTCCCCCCACCACCCCCCTCCTCTCACATTGTTTCACAGAGGAAATAAGGAAACTGGACGGGGTCTACTGTAGCTCTGGGTCTCCAAGCCCTGGACACATGGGCCACACTCACCCTTGGATGCAATGGGCAGCAGTCACCACCCAGCTGTGGTCAATGAGGGCCCCTCCACACACGTGCTCGTTTTCCATCCGGAGGCTCACCTCCCAGGGCCAATGGCGCATCACAACCAAATCTTCTGACCACCAGGGCTCGCCACAAACTTCAGGAATAAGTGTGCCAGGGAGACATAGTGACCACATGGAGGAAGATGAGAATGACTGACACCAAGACTCCCTCCCAGGCCAGTTTGCACAAGCTGTAAATTCAGAGGTTTGTTCCCATTTCAGAGGGGGAGACTGAGGGTGAGAGAAGAGCAGTGGCCTGCCCAAAGGCATTCAGCTAGACAGAAAATGACAGTGACGGAGATAAAAGGCATAAAGATAGAGACATAGAGACATCACAGCAGGAGAGAGAGATACTGAGATTCATAGGGAGCAATAAGCATGGAACCTCAAAATGAGAGAGAAGCAGAGGAGTCCCAAAACCATAAATGCATTTTCTTGCATCTGGGCTAAGTTCCTAGGCCATACTCCTGAAAAGCTATAATGCTTGCTGCATCTCTTAGATGCAAAAGGCCTCTATCCCCACCCCACACTACTCAGAGAAAAGAAAAGCTCCTGAATTCTACGTCAGAAGCCTTTACACTGACCAGCATCGAGCCCACAAAGGCCCGGCATTCACAGCATGCACACTCTTCTTAATTTGCACGTAGTTCCACCAATCAAATTGTACGACTCTATAAATGTATGAATGAACACAGATGCAGAAATTCTAAATAAAATGTTAGCCTGACATGCTATTTTTAAAAAACAATGCACCATGATTACATAAGGATTATCCCAGCAGTATAAGGGTGGTCCCACATTAGAAGACCTCTCTGTCTCCACACAAATAGTTCTAACAATCTAAAGACAGAAAGATCATGTGCTTTTCTCAATAGACACAGAATAAAGCATTTGAAAAACTCAACACATACTTATGACTTAAAAAAATAAAAACAACTCTTACTTAACAAACTAGAAATAGAAAGGAAAGTTATACGCCACAAACTTGATAGTAAACATCACATAACATTAAAGAACAGGCAAAAAAGAATCTATACCATCAGAGGTCAGGAATAAGGATACTTTGTGGGAACAAGGCAGAGGAAATAAACTGAGAGCACAAGGAATCTTCTGGGTGCTGATATTGCTCTACTTTTTAACCTGGGTGATCAGTAACAAGGTGTGTTCATTGTCTGATAATTCCTTGAACCGGACACTTATAATTTGAGAACATTTTCATGCATGTAACACTACATTAAAATAACTTACTTATAAAGTCAATAATATTTCTCTATCCCAGCAAAACCCACTAGAAAATATACATTCTCAAATGAATGAATGAGTGAGTGAGTGAATTTATGAATCTCCAACTCTGAACTTCTGTAAGAGACAGATGATCATGCCCAGCCCAGGCACTGCTAAGCATGAATGAGATAAATAAGATACATTTTTCAGTAGCAAAAAATTATAAAATACACAGGAATTAATTTATCTAACACCTCACAAGATTTCTGTGGTAATAAGTTCAGAACTCTGATAAAGGACACAGAAAATGATCAGTATATGGGCCGGCCACCGCCTCTGCTTGGTTCATTGGAACACTTATTCTATTTTATAGTATGAAGTGTTTCCCGACTGTAGAATCACAATAAAGCCAAATGAGGTTTAAATTAAATTTGCTGTAGGGCCGGCCCAGTGGCTCACTCGGGAGAGTGCGGTGCTGATGGCACCAAGGCCCCGGGTTCGGATCCCATATAGGGATGACCGGTTCGCTCACTGGCTGAGTGTGGTGCTGACAACACCAAGTCAAGGGTTAAGATCCCCTTACCGGTCATCTTTTAAAAAAAAAGAAAGAAAATGATCAGTATAAATGGAGAGACATTACTTGATCTTAAATAGAATGACTAAATATGTTAGAAGTAATTTTCCCCAAAATTAATCTGTAAATTTATTTCCTGATTTAGAATTTTTAAGAAACTTGATAAACTTACTCTAAAATACAAATAGGAAAACAAAGGTCCACAAATAGCTCAGTCTTTGAAAAAGAATAGCAAAGAAGGATCGCTTGTCCTAGCAGATATTAAGACATGTGAAAACCATGGTAACAAAAACAGTGTGATATTGACACAAGGACCAATGGGCTGGCTGGTTAGCTCAGCTGGTTAGAGTGTGGTGCTGATAACAAAAAGGTCCAGGGTTCAATCCCTGTACCGGTCAGCAGCCAAAAAAAAAAAAAAAAAAAAAAAAAAGGACCAATGGGAAAGAATAGAGAGCTTGAGATTATTACATCAAAATAAAGGAGGCACCACAATCTGTGGGTAAAGGAAGGACTGTTGAGTAAATGGTGGTGGGAAACTGTCTCGCTATAAAAGAAATAAGAAAAACAAAGCTGGATTCTTTGAAGACCTAAAGGTAGAAGGTAAAACTGTAAAGTTAATAAACCATGTGATATGGGTGAAAAAGGACTCCTTTAATAAAACCTCAAAACACAAGCCATAAATCATAAAACTGGTTAATTTGATTAAATCAAAATCAAGGAGCTGTGACCCCAGGAACAAAGTTAAAAGACAGAGCACTGATTGGGGGGCAATATTTGTAATATCTGAAATCAATACAAAACGTTTATTAGGAATATACAAGGAACTCTAGGAAATCCATAATTAAAAAGAATAATAGACAATATGCAAAGGATAAGGACAAACTATTTGCTGCATTAAAAGAAGAAACTCAAGAAACCAACAGCATATTGAGACATGCTTAAACTCTTTAGTAATGAGGAAAATGCAAATTAAATCAAGAAGTCATTTTTTATCTGTTAGATTGGCAAGAAACGTAAAAGCTGGATCATGCCAAGGGTTGGTAGGTCTGCAGCATTATATACATCTTCATGCACTGCTGGTAGGAGTTTGGAGAACTGACCAAATCACAATATGGATAGTACATAAAGGCATGGTATCGATGTAAACTTCTGAAGTTGATAAATAGTATACTGTGGTTATGTAAGAGAATATTCTCAGAAAATACATACCAAAGTATTTAGCAATAAAGAGCCATGCTGGGGCTGGCCCGGTGGCGCACTGCTACAGTGCGCCGCTTGGGAAGCACGGTGGCGTTCCCGCCGAGGGTTCGGATCCCACATACAGACCGGCCGCTCACTGGCTGAGCGAGGTGCGGGCGGATCCCACATACAGACCGGCCGCTCACTGGCTGAGCGAGGTGCAGGCGCAACACTGAGGGTTGCGATCCCGTTGCCGGTCCCGGTCCGGTACGGGCGCGACACTGAGGGTTGCGATCCATTGCCGGTCACGAAAAAGCGCAACACTGAGGGTTGCGATCCCGTTGCCGGTCCCGGTCCGGTACGGGCGCGACACTGAGGGTTGCGATCCATTGCCGGTCACGAAAAAGCGCAACACTGAGGGTTGCGATCCCGTTGCCGGTCCCGGTCCGGTACGGGCGCGACACTGAGGGTTGCGATCCATTGCCGGTCACGAAAAAAGACAAAAAAAAAGGGAAAAAAAAAAAAAAAAAAAAGAGCCATGCTGTATGTTTCCCTCAACTGATTCTGAAAAAAATTGTGTTTGTCTGTTCCTCATAATACAGGTACTTTTGCACTGTTTTGTAAGTTTAAAATTATTTCCAAATAGAAAAATTTTATTTATGGGGCTGAATTAAAAGAAGAGGAAACAGATCTAATATATATATATATATAATTTATGTAAATTTAAAATACATGCACACACAACAGCAAGATGAATTTTTACAAACACACACACACAGAGAAAGATCCACACTGAACACATAAGGCTGGGGGTGTGGGGAAGGGGAGAAAGTAAGAGCAGGAATAACTAATTAATCAATCCACCAAACAACTAGTAATGAGTCGGGGTGGAGTCCTAGCAGGACCTGTGACAGTGGAAGCCCATGAACCGAAGAACAGGAACAACCCAACACCCCACCCCTGAGGTCTAAGGGAAAAGACAGGAAACCCCAGAAGAGCTGGGCTCTGCAGACACTGTCACAGGGCCCAGGAGGCTCCATCTGCAACTGAACAATTTAGAACCCAAAAAGTTTCTGGGTGAAAAGGATCTGCATCTGTTTCCTGAGATGTCCCCGATGCAGTCTGGCCTGAATTCAAAGAGGGTCTGCATTCCCATGGGAGGCCTGGATACTCTTTCCTCTGGACTGTTAGGTGTGTATGTCCCGGCAGCTTCAAGCAGTTCTTTAGAAAGCAGGCCCTTTAGACTAAATCCCTACTTCCTACAGACCCAGAAACATTATCTGTGTGACCCTCTTCAGAACATACCCTCCCAAAAGCTGAAACTTTTCCTGCAGCAGGGGCTGATCCTACCTACCTGGTTTGGTTTTGTCCTCTTTGTAACCTGGAGGAGAAAAGGGAGACAGAGATGAAGCAAGAGCTTGTGACAAGATGACAGTGAAGAGATGTACTTTTCATTAATTCATTCTGTCATTTGCCAAATATTTCCTAATTTCCCTCTCTGTTCCCAGCCTGGAGCCAGAGGCCGGGGAGACAGAGGGATATCAGACAGAGCTTGCCCTCGACAAACACACTGTCCAGCAGAGGAGACAGAAGTAAGTACACTATCACCTGCATGAGATCAGTGCAGGGACAGGCCACAGATGTCAGGTGAGCCCAGAAGAAGTGGGGAACAGAAGAGATTTCTGGGAGGAGGGATTATTGTGCCAGGTCTTAAATACGAGAAGGTAAAACAAAAATGAAAAGTGACAATGACATTACTTGCAGAAAAAATTATCATGGTGTATGCCAGAGACTCCAGAGGACAAAGGGCAAGGTGTGCAATGGCAAGAGATAATGCCAGGGGAGGAGAGTCAGGGGTCTACCGTGAAGGGCCTTGTAAACCAGGCCAAGAAGCTGGGGTGAGACCCTCTGGAGAAGGAAGGCCAACAGAGGTGTGACAGGGTCAGCCTTGAATTGTGACGGCAACACAGAGAATAGACAGGAAGGCGATAAGACTGAGGGCAGTGAGATCCCACCAAAGGCTCTGCAGAATCAAGGCAAGAAACGGGGAGGTCTGAATGAGGATGTGGTTATGAGAAAGAACAACATGATAAACTGGATAGGAGACTTAGGAACATGGTTAATCTAGGATGACACCCCAGTTTCTGGTTTTGGAGAAGAGTGGCTGTCATCTCCTGAGTTAGAGAATGAAGTAAGAGAAGCTAGTTTGTAGGAAATGGAGGGCCTCGGTTTTGGACCTCATAGAGTTAAGATGTTTCTCTGTCTTTCAGGTGGAGATGTCCAACAGGCTCCTGCGCCTCCAGACACGTTGTTTTATGAGTCACCAACATGTGAATGGCAGCCCAGTGCCTTAGGCAAGTGAGTTCACCAGGGAGCAGTGAGGCGGGAAGGAGCAGGGAACCGCACAGCACCTTAGGGAACACCAGTACATCAGGGATGAACAGAGAACTGGCGGCCTGGGACGGACAGAGGAGAGAGTTACCCCTGAGGGAGAGGAGAATCAGCAGGCCACAGAAAATGAAAAAGAAGGAAGGAGTCAGGGACAATAAGGGCAGGGACATGCCAGGAATGGGCTGCAGGGTAGGTGGGAAATGAGGAAGCCCTGGAAGGAAGCGTGAAGAGAAAAGCATTATGTTGAGCAGCCTGGCAGTGAACGGGAAAGAGACAGGGGAAGAAACACAGCAAAGAGAAAGGGAGAGGACGGTGGAGGGAGCATGGCAGAGGGGGGCCCACACTCCAGGGCATGGGTGAGCAGGCTGGCCCTGCACAGGACGCACGTCTCTTTGGTCCCTGAGTAAGGGGCGAGGATGGTGTCGGCATTCGGGTTTGGAGGGACCCCTCGGGTTGGAAAGAGTGAGGAAGCCAGCGCTGGAGGGTCTGTGTTTTCTGGGTGAACGCAGCCGCTGCAAGTGAGGCGGCTGGGGTGGCAGAGGATCGGGAAGAGGGTGAATTTTAAACGACTGCTTTAAGTGGGTGGAGACCAGGAATTTGCCCGAGTGGGGACTCCGTGGGGCCCAGCTCCCTGGGCGGAGGGGTGGAGTGAGGATGCTGTGGAGAGAGTGCGCGGGGCGTCAGTCGCAGAGAGGGCAGGAGTGGACGACCCCTGGCGAGGTCCTGGGAGGGGGTAGTAGGGAGAGGTGGCCGTGGGGTGGGTGTGAGCCACAAAAGTCCAGGACAGCCGAATAGATCAACGCGTCCCGGGGCCAGTCCCCGTCTCCTGAAGGCGGAGCAGGCCTGCGGGGCGGGGGTCAGGGGGTGGAGGAGGAGGAAGGGGGACGGCTGAGGAGGCGCCCGCCTCACCAGAGCTCAACGGTGTCAGCGGCAGCGGCAGCAGCAGGAGGACGAGGCAGCTCAGGACCGACGGCCTCGAAGCTCTGGGCCCAGAGCCGAGGCTGGACAGAGGGGTGGCCATGAGGCCAGGCAGGTGCCACTTGGCGGCTGCTGAGACGGTTCCCATGAGCCCGTGCGCGGCGCCCCTACGCGTGTCGCCCCCACGGCAAGGGACGGCGTCTCGGACGCGTGACCGCACTCCAGCACGTGACTGCGCAGGGGAATCCTGAACGCCCCCCCCCCCCCAACACAAGTACTGGCGCATTTCCTACATCTCCACGTCTGGCCTGTCCCTTGAAGATGACCTCAGAGCCCTAAGTCTGTGATTGCTCCCAGGTTGGCGGCCCCGTGAAAGCACCCCCAAGTGCCCTAGGTTTGTGACTGCCCCCAGAACCTGGTGGTGATGGTGCGCCCAGATCCCTGGACAACTAGGGGAACCTGGTTGCCCAGCTTCTGACTACACTCTTGGTTCCCTAGGCCTGGTGCACTGGAGAGTTTCCCCATTACTGTTCTGAGAATCCAAAAAGATGTGGATAGTACAAGAAGGGAAAAAAACACTAAGGCTAGGGAATTGAGGAAGATGTCTTTGAGATAGTGATATTTGAGTTGGAGCTAAGACCTCAGAAAGGACACCTCAGAAAGGAAAGACATTCGTCTGCTTTCACAGACCACCAATAAGATCCTTGTAACTAAAAGGGATGGTGACCTGTGCTAGGCCTTGGGTTTTGACAGGGCTTTTTTGCAAAAGGATACTGTCTTTGAATCTGCTGGGCATGGCAGAGACTGGGAGATGACCGCCAAGATTCCTGTTTCCCTTGTCTAGTGTGGGGTATCCAGCTGGACTCAGGACCACATTCTCCATCCTAAGCTGGCCCACATGAGTAGAAGTGATGTGTGTCACTTCCATGCCAAGGCGGTCAAAAGTAGGCTGCCTTTTCTACTCCTGATAATGCGGCACATCGGTTCCCAAAGTGAGGTCGCTGTACCAGCAGCATCAGCATCACCTGAGAACTTGTTAGAAATGTCCATTCTCAGGCCCCACCCGAGACCCACAGGATTGAAAACTCCAGGGGCTGAACCTGTAATCTGTATTTTAACAAGCCCTCAGGAATTCTGGTGCAGGGAAAACGCGAGCCATAGAGTTAAGAGCAGAGCTGTAAGATGGAGAAAGCATCATGCTGATGAAGAACACCTGAGTGGGATGTGCTAGAAAAAAGCAGTTACATTTATTTTGTTAATCTATGACTATTTAGTGGTTCCTTAAAGCAGCTGGTGCTGTGTTCATTAAGAGACTGGGTTTGACATTAGCTCTCAGTCTCTCAGCCCCAGGCTTCCTCAGGCAACAGATGGGAATGACACAGACTGCCCACTGAAGCCCACACATCTATGCCCCCATATCTAGGGTTTAAACATTGACCCCTGGAAGGGAGAAGAGCAGGAGGTTGGGAGGGGGGTGATGGGCAGTTAGAGAGACCCTGGGACATCAGGCTCTGTAATGAGGGAAAAGAACCTGTGTATAATAGCGTGAATCTCATCCTTCTCCTTATGGGAACACAGGTCTTTGGTAACAAAGTGAGGGTGAGCAGCAAGGAGAAGTAGTGGAAGAGGAGGAATATTTCTCATGTCCCAGCTTCACTCTTGCTCCCAGTTCCACTCCCTCTTGATCCCCTCTCCATTGCTGCAGGGGCTGTTAAGCAACTATAAAGCTTATTGCAGACACCCTAATGACTGTAACAGGTGCACAGAGAGCAGCGCCCACTGGCGAAAACCATTCCTACCACTCCCTTCTGAGCAGGCAGGGCCTCACCTCTCCTAGGGTTCACACAAATAGCTTTCTTAGCTAAATGGAAAACTAGTTCTCTACATGGCAAGTTATTTGCAACTGCACACTCAGGTGAGCAGAGCTTCAGAACAAACAGGCAAGTCTCCAAACATTTATTCAGTTGACGTCTGAAATCTCCACATTCTATAACTGCCTCAACATAACTTGGAGTGTCTGTGGACGTGGACACTAGGGCACTGAGGAAAGGGGTGCCAGGACTGGGTTGCCCAAGGAAGGCTTGTGTGGCAGAGGCTGTCCACTCAGACATGGATCCACAATGGGGTTCGGGGGAACCTCTCCCAGCCCCGGTCCACTGAGCCAGATGAGGAAGTTCTGGGCCTCGCACCTCTGCAGGGACCTGGTAATGCCTCCTTCACTCTCTCTGAGCCATCACCAAGCTGACTAGTTTCACAAAGTCTCAGGTGAGAGCCCTGAAACCTGAAGCAGGTCCAACGCTTGTTTCACCGCTGATGATGTCTCTTCTTTGGCTGATGTTCTCCAAGATGTCAATGAATCATGATGCCCCACCAGGCAGGTGGGCTGTCTCTCTAGTTGGGATCGGTTCATGCCCTCCTTCCTGCCAGGCAGAGCACAGCCCACTTGTAGGAGTGGCCAAGGCAGATGACCAGAGCACCAGGCTGGGACATTTTCCAGGCCCCAGTGTCCCCGCCAGGCTTTGTTGTGTGGATCTCTTCGGGGTCAATGGATCCCAACCGGAATTTGAGGAAAGGGCATTGGAAGGAATGGGAGGTCAACGGAGAGGCATAGTGGGAGACTCAGAAACAGGAGGGGGTGTGGGCTGGGGTGATCACGGGGTCACCAGGATGTCAGGGGCAGCACCAGACACAGGAGTAGGATGAGGAAGCCTGCTGAGTCCAGGCATGAAGCTTGATTCATTTGTCTAGTGAGCCAGTCCTTGTAGAAACTAACTTCTGTATAAACTCCAGGATATCCTTTTTTACCACAGCCAATGCCCCAGCTCACAATCCCCACCTGGATCCATGTGTCATTAAATTCACAGACCAGGGGGCCCCCTGAATCTCCCTAGAGAAAGAGAAAGAAACAAACTGCAGGAATGGAATAGGATCCCCATCAGAGAAGGCAGATTGCACTACAAGGCACTGGGGAGACAGGTACACAGGGGGCTTCCCCCAATACCCCAAAGGTCCTACCAGCCTTAGGTTTGTGTGAATATGAGATTTCAGAATGGAAAACTTTTAATAAAAATTGTGTACCTATTCAAAAAGTGATGTTTCAAAAAACTGAATATAAACAACGGAAATGTAACTACTCTGGGCCTGGCCAGTTAGCTCAGTTGGTTAGAGCACGGTGCTGATAACACCAAGGTCCAGGATTCAATCCCTATACCAGCCAGCCACCAAAAAAAAAAAAAAAAAAAACGATTGGAAAATGTACCTGCTCTGAGATAATAATGAGTAAAGTGCTTACCGGAGTACACTGCCTGTCACATAGAAGGGGCTCAAAACACAGAATGTGTTTTATTGGTATTACGTGCATGATCAACACCACCCCCACTCCAGCTACTCTCTCCTGAAGGATCAGGTCAGGCTAGCCCAGGAGAGCCTTGGTGGCTTCTCCTCTAGTCCCTTTAATTTGAATAAGGGTGAATGGAGGGGCTAGGAGGTAACCCAGGCTCTACTGCCTGGGGATGAGGAATCTTTGAGGAGACAACCATAATGCAGAATAGCAAGGGGCCCATGAACTGACCTGGCAGGAATCTTTTCCTTTGTCATTATAGGCACAGACAGTCCCTTTCTTGATCAAGTCAACCTTCCTTGACGTCTTTTTCTTGAGTATCTCATTACATTTCTCATAACGAATAATACTTTGCTCAGCCTCCTGAAGCTCTGTGGGTGCTAATTCTGGAGGATCTACATAGAGACGATTTAGGAGTGGAGTGGATGTACATAAGTATCCTGTGCCCACTCTGGGTCTTAAAGTATATTCACACAGAGATACCCTCTTAGGCATTGGAAATCTCATTTGTCACAGGAGGAAATGAGGCCCATAGTTGACATGAAAAGAGGAGGATGTAAGATCCAAATCAAGGCATAAGTAAGTACAAATCAGGAGAAGGAAGGCAAGCCATATCAGCTTAAGAAATCAAAACTGTTGGTCCCTCTGAGTATGACTAGTAATAGTGATCTTTTGTCCTATGCACCAGTAAAGCATCTTTACTTTCTAGGGCAGGATCACAGACTCTCAGACAGGTAGTGCCCTTAAGGTACCTAATTCAGCCTCTCCCCAGAATAGGAAGCCCTATAGCCTCACTGAGAGTTCTCTGGCCTAAGCTCCCTGTCTACAAAGGCAGGTACTTCCAGGGAGGTGCAGCTTATATTGGCAGACAGTTCATCAGCCCCTGAGCTAAAACCCATCCTGGAGAAAACCCACCATGCTTGGCACCCAAGACCCCAGGTCCTGACAAGCCAATACAAATTCATAACCCGTTGTTAAATTACTTCCTAGCGGCATCTTCTCCACCTTCCTCCCTTACCCACTTTCTAGAAAATCTGCCTCCCTGTCCCTCCCTTTAGCATATACAAGAGTACTTGAAAAGTTCACAGAAAGATTCATATTATCTTTCAATTCCATTTTTCCATGAACTTTCTGAAGTACCCTCATAGGCCAACCCAGGCAGCTTCTTCCCTGGTCCAAGTTTGCTATAGTCTTGCTTCATAGTCTTACCTGTTTCTCTTAGTTTCCCCCATCCAGTCACCCAGCACTCTGTATCAGCTTGCACCATGAAAGCCTTATCAGGGAGGCACACAGGCTGGATGTGCGAGGAGTAATTCACAGGGAAGTCGAGGAGAGCAAGGGCAATGTCATTTTCAATTAATCCAATAGAATTATAATATTGATGGATAACGATGTCTCGGACTGGGACCACAACTGCTGTTCTGGACTCATGACGTACGTTTGTGTCTCCCAGCTTCACCGTGTATTCCACGTGGCTGCAGGGAGATCCTGAAGGGTCTATATATTCTGCTTCCACAGTTTATAAGTGCTTCCCATCCTGGTCCCATCTTCCTATGCCAGCCATCAGCCACCTCCCTCCCTCCAAATCACATCCCCTCTCCAGACCCCTGACCACTCTAGCCATGGGTTCTCCACATGTGGTCCACAGACTAGCAGCAACATCTGGGAACCTGTTAGAAATGCAAATCCTCAGGTCCCATCCCAGACTGAATAAAAACTACAGGGCTGTCACCCACTTTTTCAGCTGAGGAAGAGGAAGCTCAGGGAGGGAGTCTGGACGGGCTCCAGGTCACACTGCCTGATCAGGGCCCCAAACCCTGAGCCCCAAACACTCACCCTATTATGCAGTGGGCCGCAGTCAGCACCCACCGATTGGCGATAAGGGAGCCTCCGCACAGATGTTCATCTTTGATCTGCAGGCTCACCTGCCAGGGCCACTTCCTCTCTGGGGCTGGCATTCCACCAACTATCCTCACAGTCCTATGGCCACATGCTGGAGCAGGTCAGTGAAGGGAAGGGTAAAGCAGCTTGCTGTACCGTCACCAGAGCCAGACGATCCTCAGCACCCTCGAAGCAAGGCCATGTCCCCTCAGACCCCCAGGGCAGTAAGGCTCCTCAGGGAATGGCTGCACCCTCTCAGATCTCAAGGGCAGGTTGGGTCCTCAGCATCCCCCAACCCCCTGAGACTCTTCTCCTAGGGCAGGGTCCCATCCTCCTCAGACCAGCCACTCTGTATCAGGCATGGCCCAGAAACATCACCTGAGTAAATGCCACTGTACCTGTGGTCATTGCTGGTGATGTCGTTAGTGGGTGGTTTGTCTGAGCCGTGTAGTAATAAGAGTCACCTGAGGCAAACGAATACAAATCGGCGGTCACTGCGCTCCACCCGGATTGGGGGGCCGCCGAGGGTCCCGGAACCCCTACAAGGGGCGGCTCCCACTCGCTCGCTAGGGGGTCCTCGCCACCGCCACCTGAGGGGAGAGGAGAGGGGGTCGGCGGGCCCGCCGCTCTCGTCCGGGCGTCGCTGATCCCGAGCTGAAGAAGCAGGAGCCAGGCCAGGAAGCCCAGGAAGCCGCCGCCCCCCGGGTACGCCATGGAGACCGCCGGCGACCTCAGCCTCTCTGGTGGCGCCCCCTCGCGGCGGCCCCGGCCCTGCCCTCGCTTCTGGCGGGAACAGGGGCCTCCCGCGAGGCGGGGCGGGGCCTGGGCAGGGCCGCGCTGTGGAGTCCTGTCTCGGAAGAGTCTTCTCTCTGCCCTGCTCTGCGTGGACTCAGGCCTGTCCGTGTCAGTGAAGGGCCTCCTCCCAGGCACTCAACGTCCCCTGGCCTAGGTCCCTAGCCACAGAGTGGCAGCTTCCGAGTAGGTGCCACTCTACCGTTCTTTGTTCCCACAGAGATGCGTCCACAACTTGCCGCACCGCGGACCTTCCCCAGGCTCAGATTAGGCCAGGCCTTTCCCAGAATCTCCCTCCCCCACTCGTTTGCAGTACAAATTAAAATTCCTTGACATAAATGTTGCTCTTGGGGCCGGCCCGTGGCCCACTCACCAAGGCCACGGGTTCGGATCCCTATATAGGGATGGCCGGTTAGCTCACTGGGTGAGCGTGGAGCTGACAACAAGTCAAGGGTTAAGATCCCCTTACCGGTCATCTTTTAAAAAAAAAAATGTTGCTCTTAACATTACTAACCACTGAGTTAAGGATGATCCTGCTACCTTTTTGAAAATCAGTATTTGCATTAAAAAATGTTCAACATCATTAGCCATTACCAAAAAGGAACTTAAAACCACACAGAAATACCACTACACACCTATCAGACTGACTAAAATGAAAAATAGTGACAACACCAAATGCTGACGTGGATGCAGAGATATTGGATCACTCATACATTGTGGTGGGAATGTAAAATGTTACAGCACTCTGGAAAAAAAGATTGGAGGTTTTTCTTTCTTTCTTTCTTTCTTTTTTGTCGGTGGCTTGATCAGATTATTTTTATTCAATTTTTTTATTTTAAGTTTAATTGTACACATTTGTGGGGTACTGTATATTGTTTCAAATACATGCATAAACTGTACAATGATTCATTTAGAGTAGGCAATATATACATCCCCCAAACATTTTTCTTTTCTTTCTGGTGATTAGTCAAGATCCTCTTTTCCATCTATTTAGAAATATACAATATAGTAATATTAGCCCTAATCAGCCTAGAACACCAGTACTTATTCTTCCTATCTACCTGCAGCTTGGTACCTATTAATCCACCACTTCCCCCTGATTCCCCACATTGGCAGTATCTTTTTTTTTTTTTTAAGATGACCTGTAAGGGGATCTTACCCCTTGACTTGGTGTTGTCAGCACCACGCTCTCCCAAGTGAGCTAACTGGCCATCCCTATATAGGGATCTGACCGTGTGGCTTTGGTGTTAACAGCACCACACTCTCCCAAGTGAGCCACGGACCGGCCCCGGCAGTTGCTTATAAAACAAAAAATACACAATTACCATATGACCCAGTAATTATACTCCTGAGCATTTATCCCCAAGAAATAAAGATTTGTTCACACAAACACATGCAAACCTATACAAATGTTTATAGTATCTTTATTCATAATAGCCAACATCTGGAAACGACTCTGTAATAGATAGAAAAATGACCTCTCAAAGATGTACACATTCTAGGGCCGGCCCGGTGGCGCACTGCTACAGTGCGCCGCTTGGGAGCTCGGCGGTGCTCCCGCCGAGGGTTCGGATCCCACATGCGGACTGGCCGCTCACTGGCTGAGCGAGGTGCGGGCACAACGCCGGGGGTTGCGATCCCGTTGCCGGTCCCAGTCCGGTGCGGGCGTGACACTGAGGGTTGCGATCCGTTGCTGGTCATGAAAAAAGACAAAAAGGAAAAAAAAAAAAAGATGTACACATTCTAATCCCTGGAACCTGTAAATATGTTACCTTACATGGCAAACAGAATGTGATTACATTAAGGATTTTGAGATAAGATTATTCTGGATTATCCAGGTGGGCCCAATGTAATCACAAGCAAGGGTCTAAGAAAAGAGACGTAGGGGTGGCTCGTTAGCTCTGCAGATAAGAGTGCAGCCTTAAAACACCAAGCTCACAGGTTTGGATCCCATATGCCGGCCAGCCACCAAAAAATAAATAAATAAAGAGAAAGAAATTTAATGCCAGAAGCAGATGTGAGAGAAATAGATTTGAACATTCTATACTACTGATTTTGTAGATGGAGGAAGGGGGCAGGAGCCTAGAAATGCAGGAAGCTTCTTGAAACTGGAAAAGACAGGAAACAGATTCTCCCCTAGGGCCTCTAGAAGAACATAGCCATTGAACACCTTGATTTTAAGCTGTCTGACCTCCACAACTGCAAGATAATAAATTTGGGTTGTTTTAAGCTGCTAAATTTGTGGTAATTGTTACTGCTATAATAGGAAATTAATACAAACACCAATGCCCTTCAGTGAGTGAATGGTTAAACAAACTGTGGTGCGTCCATACCATGGAATACTACGAAGCAATCAGAAAGAATAAACTGTCAATACATGCAGCAACGTGGATGAATTTCCAGGGAATTATGCTGAATGAAAAGCCAATCCCAAAGATTACATGCTGAATGATTTCATTTATATAACATTTTGAAAGACAAAGTTTTAGAAATGAACAACAGACTAGTGGTTGCCAAGTTAGGGAGGTAGGTGTGGTTTTGAAAGGACAACACAAAGAATATTCTGCTAATAAATTGTATTGTGCCTTTGTGATAGGAGGTGCTCAGTCCCCCTGGGATTGGGTTTCAGGCTACTTTCCTGGGTCTCATACCACTCTTTTAGGTCTCAAGCCCCGTCTCTGTCTCTGAGTCCTGAGCTACAGTGGCCTATAGCACCTATTTTGGGTACCAGCACATAGAGATTGAGACCACAGGAGGCAGACTTGTGAAACCTCCATGGACAAGCATACTCAGTAAAAAGGAGTTTATCCCTTGAATGACCTCCCACTAAGGTGCTAAAGAGCACCTAGAATATATTTGAATATATTTGGTGCATGTGATGGAATTTGAACGGTGAATGTGCTCCAAAGAGACCAACTGAGCATGTGCAAGACTAGGTTACAAACCTTGGAACCACCCCCTTATTTGACTATTTATTAGATAGCATGAGTATGTATACATAGACAAACTATGCAAGTCAAATGCAGGAAGAAAGCAGGGCCGTTGCTCACTCTCCTGGAGCAAGCCCGCACTTCACCAGAGGTGAGTATTTCTTACTTTTTGTATCGAACTTGCCTTTAGCAGGCTGTGCTCACTCTTGAGCCAGCCTGAACTTTGTCTGTGAAGTATGTACTTCTTACTGTTGTATTAAACTTGCGGCTGCTGCTCAGTCTGTGGAGCTAGGCTGCACTTTCCCTTTGAAGTCTGTATTTCTTATTCTCTGTATCAAACCTGTTTTCACTTTCTGCTGTGACTCTGCTCTTGAGTTATTTCCTGTGACGGAGTCAAGAACCTGGTAGAGGATGGGGTGGGTTGAGGCTGGCTATAGGCCTCCCCAGACCCTCTCCTCCAGTATCATCTTGACTATCGTGGTAGATACTTATGTGTGATAAAAGTGTATAGAAGTATACACATATATGCTCACAAATTAACACAAGTAAAACTGGAGAAATCTAAATAAGAGAGATGGGTTGTATCACAGTCAATAACCTGGTTGTGATATTTTTTTCAGGACATTACAATTGGGGGAAACTGAGTAAATGGTATAGGGGTCTCTCTGTATCATTTCTTGCAATTGCATGTGAATCTAAAGTTATTTTTAAATTTTTTAAAACTTAATTTAAAAAATAATACATCCCTAATGTTAGCCATAAATCTCAGAAAGTAAAACAGTAGATAGTTGCTTAAACAATTATCAAAAAGAGAAAAATTTTGAAATAAATTCACAGAGTTACTCATAGTTGAAACTTGGAATCAGTTGCTATTATTGTCTTTATAGATGTAAAGTCAGTAGATTTTTTCTAAAGACAGTTTCATATCATGTGAGGTACTAAATAGCAAGCTGACAAAGCCCTTGCTATTCAAGGGAAGCCAGCAAGGCTGGCATCCCTTTTGCCTACTTCCCCCTTCTCCCTCCCCTTGAGGGCTGACCTTTGATTGAACCCAGGACCATGGAAGCTTTGTAAATGAGAAACTTACGTTCTTATTTTGTTGATAAGCAGTTAGCTATGAATTTTCAAGCACTGTGGCAGCTGAAAATGTTCTATAAATAGCTTGGTACCAGACATAACTGATTTAATCAGTACAATTTGTTATTTTCACTGCCTTATAAAATGGAACCTAAAATAAACTAGGGTGCCTTACAAGTCAGCATCCTGTAAGGTCCTCCTGACCCCATAAAGTGTGTCTCTTCATTTCTCACCATCTCCCCTTGGGTACTGGTCGACAACAATATCACATAATTTATTTCCCTCATTTGAGATACAACAATATGATTATCTCCTGAGATATCAAATTAAAATTTTGCTTCTCTTGGCAGTAATAAGACAGTATAAATACTTACAAATGTGAAATTAGAGATTTTACTGTTTTTGATATCTTCTAAGAGGGTACATGCAGATTCAACTGTCAAATAAAGCTCCATCATCCATTAATAAATAAATAAATAAATAATACACCCAATCATAAGCTTTAAAAAGATAAAATTTTTATGCAGTATTATTGTCTAATCTTGACCCTGAAACTTCAACTTTAAAAGCCAAGTATAGCCTGTCTGCTATGAGTATACAGCAATTTATTATTATTGTTACTATTATTATTATTATGAAAGAAAGTTATTTCCATTGTGGAAAATTTCTTTTAAAAACAGATAAGCAAAAAGAAGAGGAAAATCTCATTATCTTAATAATTGGACACATATTTTGGGAGCCCACTTTTTAATATAACAATATATTCTTACAACAAATATAATATTTTTTAAATTATAAGCTAAAAAATAATCAGCATTAGAGTCCAATTTGCCATCTTTTCTAGTCATCATTAGGTATACCAATCCAACCTTTATCTCAAAACGTTTTAGAATGTTCCTTTTGAAATCATTCTAA